TAAAGTATATCATTTCTAGTATGAATATTTCGTATCTAATATGAATATTCAGTGCCAAATTACATTGAATTTGCAGTGAAATCTGAAATTTCATGATCTTCCCCCCCTAAATCGCATTCTGTGTCACTGTCCTCAAAATTTCAGAATACACGGAGAGAAATTTTTTAGAAAAATTCTTGTGCTAGCACGGGAAAAGAGGCGCAAAGTGACAGCCAGGAAAAAATTCCTGTGCCGGCACTAGAAATTTTATTGGGGAAAACGTGAATTTTCCCCCATATTGCTGTGAAAAGTTCACAGAAATGCCCAGATATTTTACCAGAAACACCAAGAAATTTTACCTTAAAAGCACTAGAATTTTTCACAGCCAGTGGATTGTAATTTTTTCCAGTACTCGTACTAGAATTTTTCTAGGAAATTTCTCTCCGTGTATATTTATCGGAATTTCCTGGTTTTCTATTTATTTTCAGGGAAAAATGGAACTTCAATTTAGAGTCCTCCTTGATTTTCCCACGAAATTTTGAATTTTCAATGACGAAATTCCTTGCAATTTCTGTGGTAATTAAATTCGATAAAAATTTCCAAAAAGTTTTTTCCTTCACAAAATGATTTGCAATGCCAAAGAATCAATTAACATAATATTTGATTCATTTTCATTTGTTTTGTTCCAATTGTTGAATTTGTTTCATTAAACAATAAATTTTAGTGGTGTTTATGATAAACAATATCGATAATAATTTCTAATAGACAACATAACAAATACGATTTATTAGAAAAAAAAAATTTTTTTCTTCTCGTATACCCTTTCGGGTCTTTACGATTTGTTCCCTTCCCACCCCCAACCCCCTGTACCGCATTCGCCGAAGGACAAGGGAAAACCTCATTTGAGGAAAAACCCTGCCCAGGTACAGTCGTCTCTTGCGAGACTCCCGTTCGACAATGAAACCGTGAGATTTAGAGTGTCACAAATTGTGCCCCCCCAGCCGGGAATTGAACCCGGGTCTCCCGGATGGCAATCCCACACTCCAACCACACAGCCACCGCCGTCGGTATACGATTTATTAATTATTTTCAATTACAAATGCATGTTTAACGCATTTTTTATTATTTCTTCTGCCCTTTCCTCTCCCTTTTCTCACCGCTACCTTCCAGCATCTCGTCTCTTCTCGACTTCTACCTCACGAAGAACCAGGGAAGTAAAACCGTGGACCAGTCTGGAGCACTACATGCTAGGAATGAAAACGTGTTCCTACGAGCTCACCTGAGAGACGTGTTGCGAAAGCCAAAAGATTTATTCCCAACGTGCGAATGCGATTCGATTTTTTATCACTCCCCCTTACTCTTTCCTTCGAATTGACTCACGAGAGTTCTGATGGTGGACATTTGCATACTTTTCATGCCCACTGGGGGCTTGAACTATGTGGGCACAAAAGCGTGATGAAAAAGTAAATCACAGAGGGAAAAAAGTTATAAAAAAAACTGCAAAGAGGGAAAATCACTGTCATGTCGCTAATAATTGAGTATGGATCTCTGATAATCAGTGCCGTGTCTCTGAAAATAATTTTTTTCTTCGTGTGAATGTCGCGGTGAGAAGAAGCGAAGGTACAAACTGGATACCAAAATTCTATTTGGAAATAAAATATTTGTATGAGACAGTAAAAATGTTGTTCATTATAATCATCAAATTGCCTTCGCATCAATCAATGCTAATGAACAATCGTTCATTATTCCATTCATTATCCCTCACATATACGCAGTTACTTGTCTTCTTTATTTTTGAAGTAAAACGCATTCATTCGTGGCATCATAATATGCCAATAATTTTCCCGGAAAAAAAATTTCAATGGAATTGCTCATATTGAATAACAAAATTTTCCCAATGAAAAAGTTCGATAATCCAGGCGCGATGTGCAATTAACCAGATAATGAATGAATGACAGCTATTCATTGAATGAATAGAGAACAAAAATACATATTCGCGAGGTCATGGAGATTCAACGTGCATCATACAGTGAAAATAATGCTCGTATCAAGGGATGCGCATGAGTGCGACACTGAAATGTGATGTCATTGAAATGTGAATGACAGAATGCGAATTGTGAATGCCAGAGACGATTGGTATTCGTTGGATATAGATTGATCCAATAGCCTACTGTTCATGATTATTCACACAGAAAAAGAGTTTCTGGTTTTCACACGGAGAGAAATTCTTTGGAAAAATTTGAGTGCGAATACTGGAAAGAATCACAATCGACTCTCTATGAAAAATGAAGTCCTGTTAAGGATATCCAAGTTGTTTGACTATTTTTTCTGCAATGAACTGCTTCTTCTACTTTAGACTAAACTTTGCATGTCTGTATTTGAATCATGATATTGAACCGTTAGAAAACATTTTAAAAATCTGAAAAAAAATTAGAACGTTCACCTTTGGAGAAAGATTAATGAAATAATTTAAAAAGTACAATTTTTGAAAATTTCGAGCATTTTCTATAAATAATTTATAAATAATCAATTTCTCACCATAAAAATCATTTGTTCGGAATCGTTACAAATTTATTTATATTCATAATTTTACCAGAAATCGATTTGATGCCTCAAAAAATAAGGTTTCCGAAATTTTTAACAATTTCAATTACTTTGAAAATTGACTAGAATTTTTTATAGTTTATATTTACTCTATTTGTACGAATAAAAAATTCAACATTTCGAGAAAAATTTTGACTAAAATTGTCCAAATAAATTTGTTACTATTTGCCACTGATTGAAAAAGAAAAAAACTCAACATACTAATGGACAGTTTTCTTCCGATGACATCAGCTCCAAGCACCAATAGACATTCCCCTGAAGCATATCCCGATGATAAAATAATCGAGTACTCGAAGAATGAATAGTTGGCTACGTGACAATTATGAAGAAAGCTCATAACAATATCCCCGGTGTCAGTTACGCAATGTTTAGCCAATGTCAAGGTGATTGTAATTTTTCCGGTATTAGCACTAGAATTTTTCTGACGAAATTCTCTCCGTGCAATATCCATTACAATTTTCAACGAATTAACGGAAGCATCCCAAGGTTACGTTGTTACTTCCTAGAGATAGACAATTTTGTGTCTAGGTGACTCTGTCATTCGCTATAATGAATACTTTGTGCCAAATGTTGGCTACGGAGTCCGATAACGAGTGAGGGGTAATGAAACATCGCCAAGAAAACTTCAACTTCAATTCGCAACGAATTTTCGTGTGGAATAATCGGTTCTCTCATGTCGACTGCGTTTGCCACAATTGATCCATTACACACTGTTGGAAAAAAATGAAATTTCATGGACAGTTGACTACTAATTTTTAGGACAGTAACACTGAATGCGATTTAGGGGAAAAAAATTATGAAATTTCAGGCTTCACTGAAAATTCAGTAAAATTCCAGAATTCTAAGCAGCACCAAGACAAGAATTCCTCAATTTATTTTAATTTCCTGTCTAATATGAATATTCAGTGCCAAATTGTATAGAATTTGCTGCTAAATTCAAAATTCCATGATGTTTTCCCCCTAACTCGCATTCAGTGTCACTGTCCTGACAATTCCAGAATATATTTACCGTAATTTTCTGGTTTTCTATTTATTTTCAGGGAAAAATGGAACTCCAATTTACAGTTCTCTTTGATTTTTCCACGAAATCCTGAATTTTCAATGACGAAATTCCTTGCAATTTCAGTGGTAATTAAATTCGATAAAAATTTTCAAAAACTGTACCGGAAATTTCAAACAAAAATTTTTAACCGTGCACTATGAAATACATTTCGTTGTGTATATTCTAATTTATTACATACGATTATACATACATGATGACGTGCGTTTATGCATATTGCCGTGGTGGTGTCAATTATCATAATTACAGTAATTACCAATGTCAAGCAGGAATCGACAATTTTTAAAAAAATTTTTTAAACCTCATTTTCCACTCATTTTACTCCACTGAGAGCCGTTCACGCTTGATTGCCCTTCGCATTTCCAATAGTATAACGGTAACGAGCAATTTTTAAATTGATGAAGCGTTAAAAAATGAACTGTAGAAAAATCAATGAAAGAGTTATAAACAGCTGGTGCCGTTATAGATGACATCAAGGGATCTATTATCCCCAAGTACGTGTGAAATGTGCTCATAGCGTTGATGGTTTTTCATTGAGAGCTCAAGTGAATCGATAAATTCGAATCATTGAGGGGTTAATAATACTCCACTATCACTGTTGAAAATTTGTGAAATTTTCAATATACTTCTCGGAAATTCCTATCACGTCACAGTTTCAGTGGAATTTCAAGCATTTACGTCATTGCAAATTCGGAATTTCACGGAAAAATCAATGGAAACTGCGAAATTCAGTTCGATCATTTGGTGAGAATCTAATAAAAGTCAGGAAACTTCGTATCCAGAAAAAAATCAACTATAAAGTACGAGAAAAGTATAAAAGAAATACTTTCTCATGAAAAAACACCAATTTTACCCTATGTTTGTAAAAAATTACGTTGCATAGTGCAAACTTCACCTTATTCGTCGTACTTATGTCCTTTGATTTCAAAGAAAAATTTCTGAAATACACGTCCGCTCTCAAATTCCAGTGGGAAAAAAATTTTTTTCGATAGATACGTCTTCACTTGGATTAAGCTATTTCTGCTGCCTTCATTCCCCGATGATTAAATAAAAAAATCGCATTGCCCTGGCACTTTAATGAGATTGATCTTTGACTATCATTATTCACTCACTGAGACCTGCCGACAATAAGCCATATTCCATTTTAGATTAGAATAGTGGTGGTATTCAAGTGACACTGCAGATATTATCCTGCGACACTACTATTAAGACAGACGGTTGGATGCACGACAGATACGGATTCACAAGAGATTGCGTAATTCATATTTTCAAGAGCACATGAGAATGCTGTAAATCATGAAATCGCTCGTCAGACTATAAATAAGAGTCACTGCAGACCCAGCGAAGTCAAAACGTTGTGACTTTTAACATTGACAAGGTCTCCGGAAATCTGTACCATCACACGAGATTGAGATCATCAGAAGTAAGTGATTGATTGCTTCGGTGGACCCCAGAGAGAGGAATGTTCGTGAGTGGATTCAGAGGTCAACGTGTGCATATTATTGCACTCTGTCACGCAATCCACTGCTGAACTACTTTCATGGCTATATGATTCTGTCATAATTGTTGATCATTAAATTTATCTCGATGGATAATTCGTTCTTAAAGTGAAATTCTAGGAAATCTTGAAAGAAAAATTTTTGCGTTCTTGGAATCCTGAGCACCCCGGAATGTTGAAGAAACTCATGAATTTCGGGAACTCTTGAAATTTCGCACAAGTCTACAAAATCCTGTGCGGAAAAAAAGCTGAAAGCTGAATTGAGTATAAAATATACTTGATTCAAGTATATTTTATACTTAATTGAGGGATGCACGGTTAGAAAATTACACTTGAAATTTCACGTCATAAAGCTTGAAATTTTTAACAACGACAAAGTTACATGAAATTTCTGTAGATTTCTTAATTGACGAATCAGTTAATTTCCTGAATATTCAAGTAATTCTCGATTTTCAGGTCCAGACGGTATTGAAAAACCTTGAAAATTTTGAAAATTCAGGCAATAACTTTTCTGAATTTTCAATTTATTGAAAATATATATAATATATGATGTTCAATTTTCACGATGAGTTTAAAAATTCAATCTTTCATTCAAAAATCAATGATTGTTTAATATGAAAAACCCAATATTTTTTAATTTTCAACAACATCACATTGAAAATTTAGATGACGCTGTGACTAAAATTTCACGAAATTTTTAACATTTCTGTGGGTATTTCAATTCGAAGATGATTCTTTTGTATCAGGCCGGGTTGTAGCAAGCCCTCTTAAGTGTAATATAAAGTCAGAATACGAGCATCAAAAAGTGGAGGTTAAAAAATGAGGGTCAGAATATTAGGGTCAGAATATAAAAGTAAAAAAAATAGGTGTCAGGCAACGAGGGTCTAAATATAAGTTATATATTATGCTTGATCACCGTTAGCCGTTATATGACCCTCATTGTCTGACACCCACTTTTTCACCCTTCTATTCTCGCACGTAGTGTCTGACCCTTACATTACACTTGACAGCGCTTAGTACAACCCGGGCTGCTTCGAAATAGTCATCCTCGAATTGAAACACCCATCCCCCATTCGAGTATAAAATACACTAGAATCAAGTATATTTTATACTCCAATCAAGACGAATATACTTGAATCAAGTATAAAATATACTCAATTCAAGTATAAAATATACTCAATTCAAGTATAAAATATACTCAATTCAAGTATATTTTCTTCCGTGTATGGAATCTGTGTATTCGCAATTTCACAAAGTCTTTTGAAGTTCAAAAAAAATTTACAATCTCCAAAATTTTTGAATTTTGAAACCCGAAGTACAAATTTTTCCGAAGTAATCTCACGACCAATTGAATACTTAAACCCCTTAAATAAGTAGATCGTGTGGGTGACTTAAAATTTTCAGATATCGATCCGAAAATGGCATTGGTGGCACCAGACTGGCTGAACGCAGACTTTATGCAACGAGTCCTGAAGAATTCAGAGAACGACAATACCATTAAAATAATTGAAATGACGACGAAAGCCGCGACCAATAAAGGTGACAATTATACAAGCGACATGCATCGTGCAACCGTTGAGTTCACACGCGATGAGCGCGGCAGGAAGGTCACGGAGAAGCGTTCGATAATTGTTAAGGTGGCACCTACCACAGAGGGACAGCAGAAGGAGTTGGTGAGTTCACTGACTCTAATTATCTACCATAGGTAATTACACACAACCATGTTTGTGAAAGCTTATCTCAGAGCACTAATTTCCAGTGCTTATTGTGCTTGTTATAGTCGTAGAAATGCTGGCATGCGCAAGCTATAAACTGATCCCGATTTTTTGGTTTGAAAAAAAAGGTAGAACAGGCTGGTCTCTTCGGAATAGAAATATTGATGATGACGACAACACTTCAGGAAATGCAGGCACTCCTGCCGGAGACGAAGATAAGTGGAAAATGTCTCTATACACAGAGCGAAAATCCTCCGCTCTTAGTCATTGAGGATCTTGCACCTCTGGGATTCCGTATGGCCGATCGGGAAGCCGGCATGGATCTCGACCATTGTATCCTGGCTTTGAGAGGATTAGCTAAATTCCATGCTAGCTCTGTAGCAGTATATGAAAAGGTCAGTATCAGACTGAAAGCTCAAACTCTTACCGTCATCTGATCAATAAAAAATGCGCATCAACTTTGAAGGTAGGAGTTCATCTGACCTTCTGAAGCTGGATTTTTTCTTGATTTTAGTCACCGGAATGTAAGAATCTCTACACCAGAGGCATCTTCAACTCTGACAATCCACCAGGAATGGTGCAATTTTTCACAAACGGTATGAAGAGTCTCGCTAGAGCTGCAGAAAACTGGCCAAAACTTGGTAAGAAATACGCTGAAAAGATCAACAAAGTAGCAGACGTCGCGTATGACAGAGCATCAGACTGTCGAATACCCAGTGAGTCAGACTTCAACGTAATAAATCACGGTGACTTTTGGGTGAATAACATGCTCTTTGCCTACGACGACAACGGCAAAGTCACGAAGCATATTTTCGTAAGTACCCTGAACACATCTTCTCCCTCAGTAAACATCATCCAAGATGGCATTAGATTCCATCACAATTGACATCACTCAGGCTCATTCATTCTCCATTCAAGAAATTCATAAGCAAAAGTGAAAAACTCGGTTCTTGGGCTACGCACATGATGACAGGGGATTGACAAGAGCCTGGGAGAAAAGGTTGGTGAAGTCATGCAACGTGAATAATGCAATGAACTCGCCTCGAATTCGATTCTACCAACTCTGTACTGCACTCAGAAGTACTATTGAAAGAACATTTCGTTTTCTTCCACCACCGTTTTCCTCTCACATCGTACCTTACCTGTTCGCAGTAGTTTCAGCACAAAGTCAGCACTCTCGACTTTTACGACTTCCTAAATAAGCATTCGACAATTGTCATATCGATCTAGCTTGTGTTTCTCAATGCTTCTTCAAGTGGAGTTATTACCAATTCAACAACTTTCATCCACTCGTTGAGATATCCGGAGAAATACTTTCCCTCTCTAACGAAACGCAAACACAAGTTTCTTGACAGATATGTGATCAAATTCCAGGTAGACTTTCAACTTTGTGTCTATGGTTCACCAGCAATTGATCTCAATTACTTCCTCAATACAAGCCCTTCGGAAAGTGTACTCTTGAATCACCAGGATCATCTCATAGATGAGTACCTCAAAGTCCTAACTGCAACAATGCGGAGAATCGGTTGCAAGGTACAGCCACCAAGCATGGATGAACTGAAGGGCGCCATATATAGGATGGAGCTTTATGGGATGCTCGCCGCATGCACCATCCTGCCGATAGTTCTCGTAGATAAGAACCAAGCTCAGAACCTTGACGAGATCCTGGGACAGGATGAGGCGTCGTTCAATAACAAAGCGTACGAGAATCCCAAGTACAGAGAGACCATGTGCAGGAGATTACCAAAGTGGGAAGCCATGGGATTGCTCGATTAATCTCATTTCGTTGATCGCTGTTAGAAAAAGGTGGAAATTTTATGGACAGTTGAATAGTAATTTTTAAGAGAGTGATATTTCATTCAATCTCGGGTGAAGAAATAATTTTTGATAATTCCTCTGGTAATTTTTCATGTTGCCTATATATGAAGTGTACCGAAATGAAAAGCACCTAAAATTTAAGACAAAATTTTTTATGTCATGCGTGCGTGTAAAGTACAGGTTAACAGGGGCGTTTGGAGGTCGGTAAGTCGAATTTTACACGCACCACCAATCGTTCTTCACTTAACAGACGTTCCCAGTTTTACACGCGTCCTATGCTATTTTACTGGTATTTTACACGTTCTCAATAACCCCTAGCGACATCTTGCGGTACAAACATAACCCATTATCCCAACCATACACCGATCAGCTGATCCATTTGACACTATTTAACGAAACAAATCGCAGTGCAAAAAGCTAAAAAATAAAGTACATAATAATAAATAATTAACTCAAAAATCGAAATATGAATACACAAGAAGATATGTTTAGTGAATACGATGAAATACTAACAGATAATATACTTCGAAACGCTCAGGAAGCAGAGAAATGCTATCAAGAAAAAGCCAACTTTGAAAGAAAAAAGAAAATGAGTATTTTTTCTAAATATTAGAGGATAATTTTTTTTGCGCGATTTTTCTCCATCCCCCCCCCCCCCCCCCCTGAAGAAAATATGAGGAAAGTTTGTTGATTTTTCATTATTTTTTTATTAGTATGAAGAATTAATAAACATAAATTATTATTATTATTATTATTATTATCATTACTCATATTTTTTTGTCAGATAGATTGAAATATTTGAACAATTATTAAAAGTAACAGATACATTTGACAGGGGATTTTTGAGGAGATTCATTACATTCAAGTTCTCTTTGTTGTTGATATTGGAATTTGTTGAAGTTGATGAGTCTTCATTAGTTCTTTTATTTTGATCATTGTTGAGTTTGCAGTTTGTGACGGTTGTGGGGTGGTGATGAGATCCTTTTAATTTTTTATATTGTTGAGATTATGTTTATTAATTCTTCATACTAATAAAAAAATAATGAAAAATCAACAAACTTTCCTCGTATTTTCTTCAGGGTGGGGGGGTGAAGAGAAATCGCGCAAAAAAAATTATTCTCTAATATTTAGAAAAAATACTCATTTTCTTTTTTCTTTCAAAGTTGGCTTTTTCTTCAGTGGGCTCCACCCCCCTGGACCCCTTCCCCCGCCCGTACCCACTCGCCGCCCCCACAGACGCACTGATGACATAAAATGCATTACACAACTCGTGAGGTAACTCGGTTTAGGGCTTCGCCGCACTCGCGTGTAAAGTCCGACTTACCTCACTTGTTCTGTAAAATACCATTACCAGTGATTATTCATTAGTCAATTCAGTAACGAAGCGGTAAAACGGTTTAAGTCGATTTTGACTATTCGCCAGTTTTCAAAGAATATCTCAGAATCTAAGGGAAATAACGAAATTGTTGATATTACTTTTCCTATAGGTTTCAATTCGCTCTACAAAAAAGGTTGTGACAAAAATTTCGTTATCTCCCTTAGATTTGGAGATATTCCTCAAAAACTCAGATGAGAGCTGAGTCGACTTAAACCGTTTTACCGCTTCGCTACTGAAATATAAATATCAATTAGGAAATTATGGAAATAATGATTTATTGCATGACGTATGATTCTGTACTGCGCAGCGTAATTATCGAATACTTACGAGTCATTGCTTGCATTATGATAAGACAATATTGCTTTGTTACATGAAAGAAAACGCATGTTAGTTTATGATATGAGAAGCACCGTCTAATCGAAAAATCCCACCGGTACCCGATGATAAAACTGAGAGTGCTTCAATCCCGCTTGACGAGATTCAAAAATGATAAAAGGTGGTTTCATCCAATACTCAATCTCATGACCTGAATGGCAGTATTGGAAAAATGAGAGCACTCTCTTTTTATAATTATATTCTGAATTTTCACCTCTCTACGACACATGGTACATTCCGGATGAGTTTTAGATCGATACAACCGTGTTTGTATTACCTTATCAAATAGTGAAAGAAACCAATGAATTCTGTGCTGCCTATGTACCAGATCTACATGTCAGCAAATATTTACCCGGAATATTGGATATATGGGTAAATAAACACGGGTAAAACACAGGGTGATAGCTTGCGGCCACAACTGCCAGGTGATTTTCAATATGGGTATGCAAAGAGGATGCATATTAATGGATAAATAAAAGCCCTGTGATTGGTTCACTATTTTGTCGTTCCTTCAACAATTTTCCCAACATTTGCAACTAATTACGTAATTTTTCAAGAGCCTATTGCATTTCCATTTTTGGTAGTCGCGCGCACCCAAAAAAAATTACTTTTGATCAGTAGAAAAAGTACTTGTACCCAGTACCAAGGGGTTTCTGGGCAAAAGGCACATTTTTGCACTTCCTCGAAGTTACAAAATAACTTGATACAAGTATCATGCGTCAAGTACCTGTGTACTGCTGAGAAGTACTTCAGTGCTTGTTACAAGTATTTAGATACTTGGGGCAAGTAACAAAATTACTTGTACTGAGTACCTGGCTGTTTGTTTTCAAAAGTATCAAATAAACTCAATATAAGTTGAGTATAAGAACTCAAAAATGTTTTTCTACCTCTTCTAAAAACCGAATTTCGTCGAAAAATCAAAAATCCAAATGATTCCCGTTTTGTAAGTAATAAAATTGAAAACAAATTGAAAAGAATTTTTCAAAGCCTTTTAAATGTTGATAACATGAAACATAAAAATCTCAACAAAATTGAGATTTTGTAGGTTGGAAAGCATACCAATAATTCTCGAAAGTATCCATAAAAATCGCAATCTATTGATTTCCTACAAAATATATTCTGGCGAACATTTCTATTTAAAAAAATGCGTAAGAAAGCCCATTCTATCCGGTAATAATATTCACTTTTTTCAATAAAGTAATCAATTGGAAGTACTGAAATTAAGCGCTAAAGGAACTTGAGAGAAGTTGAAAAATTACTTTTCACTAGTACCTTTGGTACTTGTGAAAAGTACTAAAAGTACTGGCAGTAAGTAGTGATACTACTTCCTCCCAGTACCATTTCTATTCGATCGGAAGAAGTGGTACTTCACCTAAGGACACAAAATGTACTTGGGACGAGTATTTTTAGAACTTTTCAAACGTGAACTTCCCCCAAGTACCGGTTTGTACTGGTAAGTAATTTTTTTTTTGGGTGCGCGCGTTGTCATGATGAAATTTAAACTTGATGAGGTAATCTGAACGTTCAAAAAATCCTGACGTGCACACCTCAACGAGATAAGGATGATGACGGATCTATTGGAGGGGGGGATTGTACTCTGCTCCTCTCAAGGAGCTCTGGCGATAATGAAGGATCTGTTGCAGCTCGATTTTACAATGGCAAATCGCCGAGCTGGCTTAGACTCACCACATTCCTTAGTGGCAATTTGTGGTTTTGCAAGATTACACACAAGCTCCGCAGCACTCCGTAAGGAGCTAAACCGTTCAAACGAGTTCGAGATACTCCAAGCCCATTTCACGATGTTCATCAGCACATTATTCTGTGATTGCTGTGATAATGTTCGACGCTTGAATGTAGAAGTCGATTTTAGAACAGTAATGCTCTGGTTGCTGACCCAAAACAGACTTTTTCCTCCACTTGGTATTTATCTAAGAATTCTGATGATCTTTCTTAAAAAATCGTTAATAATATATGCAATCAATTTGAGAAGATTATAAGAGCGAACTTTTCTCTCGCATCACAATTTTATTAAAATTCACATTGTTTTCTCATAAAACGAAGAAATAAATCTATATGTACAGTCGAGCACTAAAGTTTGTAAACAGAATACATAGAATGGAAGTTCAGGCTGTTCACGAACTTTAGTGCTCGACTGTATCAGTTTTATTTATTTGATTTTATTAATTTAATTTTAAATGACAATCAGTGACACATATTGTGATAACTTTCAAACGTACATTCTTCCTCTGCTAGATCAACTCACGCCAAGAGTATTACGTACATTCAGTTTTTTTAACAAGTGTACATATACTGGAGACCACTAATTACCTTTGCCAGAGGCATTACCACATTCCACCATGTGAACATTCTTTATGTCAGCAATTCGTGTGACCTCGGCGTAATTGTGACCATGATCGCTTTGTAATGGTTCTTTGTAATGGCATCTTGCTTCAAATCAATATATTGCCAGTGATTTATTGACCCTGATGCCGCGGTCAACTAATTTTATTGATATTTTCAACGAAAATGTTTGTATACAGACATGAATGCGGTAGTCCACACGCATCAGTAGTAAAAAATAGGCTATCAGTTCTGACCTCAAGTCAAGACCTCAAGTCAAACGGTCTAGATAGTGTAACTGAGAGGTAATGTTACAGGTCACATAAAATAATTCCAAATTGTGCAATATCATCTTCACAATTTAAGGATTTATTGCCATATACCGTATTTTTTTAAGATTTATGAATGATTTCTGACAAATGCAGATTGACGAGAAAAACTTATCGTTTTTGTATTCTACAATTAGTTAATGATTACCTCTCCAGTAGTCAATGTCCTATACTTGATATCAAACAGCATGAAGTAATTCACTATAGTCAGTGCAACTGTGCGTTGATGTTACCGTTCACATTAAATAACAGATTATTTATTATTCTCCCATTATAGATTATCTTCAGAATTTAATCGCAAATGGATAAATCAATAGAAATAAACGAAACAATTGGACATACACCTGATATCTAATCAGGGACTTCAAAGTTATCTCCACTGATGGAAATTTTATCATCTTATCCTACAAGTTTACAATGTTTAATGCATTCATTTGTAGTTGTTACTGCTCGCGCTGCCCCGTTCGGTTGTAGTTTACGTAACGTCATGAATTCAGTCGGTGTCTATTATTATCAATCCGAACGTCAAACGGAGAAGTGACAAAATGTCGGAGTTGACCATTGACTTCTCCCTTCTCGAAAAAATAATTCGGGAATTTAAGAAGGACACTACCGCTCACGTGACTGCTGTAAATTACAAAAATGTTGGTGCAGCAGGAGATAATTACACAAGTGAAGTGAAACGTATTCTAATCAAGTACACAGCTCGTGGCGATGGCGGTGACGCTGAGAAGGAAATATCATTCTTCTTGAAGCGCATGCATGACCAGACGAATGAGGCAGTAAAAACAATGGTAACGAATAGTCTCAATACTAAATGAAGTGATCTCGATTCAAGTAAATATTCATATTCAATCAGATTTGAAAATTCATTCATGTCAGGCCAAATGTCTTTCATATTCCGACCGGCCCCTCTCGAAAAATAATTATGCTGTGCAGGTATTTGCATCCTTATAATTATCCTGATATCAGTTGATGGCCACAACGAATTTCAGAAGATTTATTCATTACAATTATTAATCCTCAGAAAAGTTTATTTTATTGATTCTCGAGAAAATCCATTTCTTTTCATTACGCATTATTCCCCGGGAAGATGATGATTGACAATGACAATGTATTACCATGGAATATTTGTCAACAATTAGGACCTGATGCAAATACTTGAATAGATTACGACTTTATTTCAAATTTTTTCGGATCTATTTGAACAATTAAATGCTGCCGTTCCCAACGTTCTCTTCCATGATGCTCAGTTCCCACTGACATACCAGTGGATGAATCTTGAGAGCCTCTTGGAGTATCCTGGGATATAGCGTCGGAAGAAAGAAGATTCTTCCGTCGAAGAAACTATTTCGAGTCAAACCTTCTCCCTTTCTTGTATTTTCCGTTTGGGGTTTTGGAATGGAGCTGGATTGACGGCCCCAGATAATTGAAGTATCATTGCAGTCATTAATAAGCTGAAATTTCACCAACAATTGCCGTTAAGAGGCGCGTTGTTGTCGAAGCGACAACTTTTCAAGAGAGGGAGTGGTGTTGCGTATTTGTCCTTTTCCTTTCTCTCAACCACTTACACGTACGATCGTCTCTTTCTTTCTCGTTATTCTTTTATGTTTGTTCCTAGCCCGCGGACATGTCACTCCGTTTTATATTTCTTTTTACTATTTATTTCGCCCCAAAATCGTTTAATAAACACTCATTCTTAATTAAATGGTTTGTATTTAACAATACTAGATTAGTCCGCGCGCGTATATCCTACGCCATGGGGCTCAATGTATGTCAATTGTAGTATGCCTAAAGCATTATAATATAGTATAGTATAGAATATAATATAGTGTTATCGTAATATCTTTAATGTAGGCTATCATCATTGATAAACAACCTAATGACAAAATACGCCGAGTAGATTGGCTTCAAAAAACGTTACACTGGATTTTTTATTAAGGGATTTTTCCACAGCTCCAAAGTGTATACCAACATGAGGTGAGGATAATGATGGGACCATTGAAGGACATCAATCAAATGCTCACTGTAACGCGTATACCTCGTTTGTTGTACTTCCGCCCTGAGGAGCCCTACTTCGCGATCATGGAGGATCTGGCGCCCCTCGGTTTCGAAATGGCGAGTCGCGTGACCGGCTTAGACCTGCCGCATTCCTTAATGGCAATGCGTGGTCTTGCAGAGTTTCACGGAAGCTCTGTGGCGCTCTACGAGAAGGTAAAGAGCCTAAGCTGAAGGGGCCTTGAAATCCCTGGTGATGCCGTCGAGACTAGTCGCGAATTATTTTGAAGAGATCACGGTCTGGTAAAACATCGAAAGTTTTTGAATCGTCGCAATCTCGAAAGACATTGGATCGGTACATCTCGTCACAATTTCGGGAGGATTTATCTTGCCTGAATCTCAAGATTTTCGATTTTTTAAGTTCACGAGACGAGACAGATATCGAGACAAACATTTGAAAAACAGAAAATACTGAAACTCAGACGTGATGGATTCTTCCAAGCTCGGGACGAGATGCACCGATCCTATGTCTTTCGAGATTACGACGATTCCTAAACTTTCGATGTTTTTTTTAGACCGTGATGATCTTTCCAAAATAATTCTGGCCTAGTCTCGACGGCATTACTAGAAATCCCCCAGAACCGATTTTCTTTTCTTCACCAGATGATTCCATGATCAATTTTAGATGCCTGATTACACGAGTGCATTCACACTCGATACCTTCGACGACCAGAACCAAGGAATCTACCACTTCTTCAATAACGGTTTGAATTCAGTTGCATCTGCGATTTCGGGGTGGGAAGAACTTGGCCCCAAGTATGATTTTTCTTTTACGGACCAATGAAACATACATTCACACAGACGAATGTTGAACAGTGGATTATTTTCAGATATGCCGAGAAATTGAGAAATCTCACTAAAGTACTATTGGAAAAGACCAAGACGGCTTTCAGTCCTCGTGAGAATGAATTCACTGTTCTCAATCATGGAGATTGCAGCCAATTGAATATCATGTTCGCGCATGATGAGGATAAGAATCCTATTAAAGTTGCATTGGTGAGAAATTAACCTACATTGTAAAAATCAATTTTCGTCAGGCTTTGTGTACAGTAATGTTTTACGCAAAACCGCGCTTCCTACATATTGAGAAGAAGAAGAGCATTCGACACTTGTAGGCAGGGGTCGGCAATAATAATTACTTCAGTAATATTAAGGAAAGTTTACATTAACCCTTTGATGCTGCTAAGATTGTTCACTCCCCCAAAATTCTTTGAAATTTCAGTGCAATTGTCAGTTGATAAAAATTTCCAAAAAGTGTACCGTAAGATCCAGTCAAAAATTTTTAACACTAGGGAAGAGTTGGGCAAAACGAACCACTGATAGAAAGATGCTAATTTTTTTTCTTTCCTTCAAATCGGGAATACTGAATTAAAAGTGAGTTTCTTGGATCACAACCGTCACAGGGGTTTTATAATTTGCAATTTGATCAGATAGGCTAATCACCTCAAACCACATGTAACTTTGAAAAACCAATATTTTCTAGGAATCTGTGGATTTCTGCTGCTTATTTCTGCACAGCGTGACAGAAGCCATTTGCCGGATTACATATGACTGCTACTCTCCACATATTTTTTTTCTCCTATTTTCATTTCTAACAATTTCATTGGTAGTAGGCTTCCGAATGGTTCCCAACACTTGTTTTCAAACAATAAAACCATGTATTCATGTTATATGGCTTTCTCAGTTATCCTGATGTGAAAATGAAAAGTGAAATATAGATGCGTCAATTTTTTTTTTTCAAGAATTTTGGGTGGATTGTTCCATCTTAAGAAGTATTAAATACATCGTCCTAAGATTTGATATAAAAATGTTCCTTGACAATCCTAACTAAATTAAGCAATCCTAAAAAAAATCACGATTACAAAGCTTCCATTCGGAAGCAAAAACATGAACTATCAATTTTCTGTCAGTGGTCCGTTTTGCCCTACCCTCTCCTATACCACACGCTACCACCGAATCCTGACCTGAATATTTTGTTCGGCAGGTGGACTTTCAAATAGCGGGTTATAACTCTCCAGTAGTCGATCTGCGATCCTTGATCTCAAGCAGCACGACTCAAGATGTATATCAACACCATCAGCATGCACTGCTCCAAGAGTATCACTCAGTATTATCAGAAACAATGAAGAAATTCCATTGTAAAACGCCGATACCGTCTCTGGAGGATATTGAGAAGATGTACGATGACAGGGGATTCATCAGTGTTCTCTCAACATGTGCTGTCTATCCAATTATCCACGCTCAGCCATCCGATGTGGTTTCTCTCGATGCCATGCTATCCGAAAATTCCAAGGGAAGTAGCAGCCGGTACGAGGAGAAACACTTCAGGGAGTTGTTGATAGCTCGTCTTATTGAATTTGACAAGCGCGGATTGCTAGATCCATGATGGAAAAGAGAAATTTGAATCTTTTCGTCAATCAAAGTCTACAATAATTTGGAGACCGTAAAAACAAAGTTACTTTTTAAATAAAATAATAGTTGAAGTTATCCAATTTAGTAGTTAGCAACTCATTTTCTCGTATCGTTGTGAACGGTGTAAGGAACATATCAATATATTAGTATTCCACAGTAATATAACCGTAAAACCAAATATTGCAGTGAAGAATTGATGGTTTATTTTTCATAAATTCCATTTAAACTGTTAATTATAATACTACAGAATTCATTATCAATTCCACGCAAGTGCTTCAATCATAGTTTCGGAACGCATGTCATACTAGAAAAAAAAAACGTCAGCCATGACGATACATTCTGCATTGTCATCGCTTGAGTGTTTGTTTACGTGGCATATCGGATATATCCGCATGAAAAGTCGGAGTGACCCTCAGAGTTACGCTGACATTTGAAAAATATAATTGTATCTTATTTGTAGTCGATCAAACCGCTGACAATGGATAAGCCACCGCATAGTTTTATTTCATCCGATGCGTTTTTTCTTTGGATTAGAATTCCATCGCGCGATGAAGTCCCCGTCATGAGAGAATCTTATTCGCTTTTAAAAGTTATAATCGGAAGGTGGTGGGGGCTAACCCGATGACCATTCTCTTACAGTGACAACTTCACAGCTTCAGTTATCGTGAGGAACTTGGCTGCACCAATTCAGTCGTTGCCTATCGTTCAAGAGAAGTGGTGATGGAATGTCGAAGCTAAGGATTGACGCCCCCCTGATTGAAAAAATAATTCAAGAATTGAAGAACGATGATACCGTTTGCGTAATTAATACACGGAGAGAAAATTTTGATAAAAATTATCCTACCGTCTATAAAAGTGTATCATGAGTCAACTCGATCATCATATATTAATTTTTACTAAATTTCGGGATAGAAATGAGGAAACGATAATAGTTAACGAATGATTCACTTGAAAGGTGAAAATCGAGTCAAACAACCTTCCTGAAATATGCATTTGTTAACTATTACCGAAGGAACATTCAAATCCATTCGTTAACAATAACTAATCCTTTCTATCAGTGCAATCGAGCCAGTGGCCTTGACTGCCAATTGAGCACTTTTACCGTTCAGGAGTTAATAGCACTATTGTAATTTTATACATTCATTTTGTCAAAGCTTCATGCTGTACACGCACGAAAAAATTTAATAGAAAAACCTATTGAATTCTCTTTTCCTATCGGAAAATCTTAAAGAAGTGGTGATTCCAAAGACACGCAAGGCGTTTACGCCGCGTGAAAATGAATTCACTTTTCTCAATCACGGGGACTGCACTCAATCGGATATGTTGTTTGCATATGAGTAGAAGTACACTGATTTGGAAAAGATTTGGAAGATTTAGGTGAAGTCAATGAAGCTCTTTAACTATTAATGTTATTCGTTAACAATTAATGAATGGTGTCAATAGTTTAAAGTCCTCGTTAACGACTAAATTCTTTTCTCAGTGTATATTCACGCGTTATATATGCGATTAAGGTATTTATGGCGTGGTCAGAGGG